CCTCGGGGGGGCCTGGGAGAGACGGAGTGGCACTCACTGCTCATCAGTCCACAGCGTGACACTGGTTTCATGCTGCAGCCATGGTCGCGGCCGAGCTGTGTGCAATCAGGACAAGTAACGAGGAGATGGTGCTGGAGTCTCACTGAGCATGAGCGGAGAGAGCCAAGGGAGGCTCCCGCCCAGGCCAGTGTCGGAGTCAGAAGGAGGGGATCGGTGCAAACGACTCTGGCCGGTTCCCTGGGACCCTGGGCTTGTGGGAGCCCCTCCACGGGGCCGCGGGAGGAGGGAATGGCTTCCTTAGTGAAGGCCGTGGCGGTTTCTGGCACAGAGCGATGCTCAAATCAGCCAGCTTCTCCTTCCTCCTCCTCCTCCTCCCAGCGGGCACCTCTGCCTGACTGGCTGATGGCGAGCACAGCTGGCCCAGGACTTTCCCGCGGCTCCATCAGAGGGGGCAGCGGGAGGGGAAGGGGCGATGCCAGGCGACTTCCCGGCGTTCCACCCGGAACGAGGGGACTATCTGGGCACCAAGCCCTTTTCCCTTCAGCTTCCCACATCTTCCGAAGAACTGGGCCAGGCACTGGGAGAGCCAGCCCTGGAGACAGCCTCCTGCCCACCCAGGGCTCCCTTGCCCTCCACAGTTGCACCAGCAGATGGCGCTAGGCCGTGCCCTGGAGGCGGGCAGCCAGGAGCTGGCCACGAGGGAAGGACTGGGAGATACTAAGGCCCAGGGGAGGCCGCAGCCCAGCTCCAGCCGATGTTCAAGAGCAGGACTGGGGGTTCCTGATTAGATTTAGCAGAAATTGGTCTTTGTGTGAAATCTCCCAATCAATGTGTTACACACTAATTCAAAAAAAACACACGTTTAAATATTGAGCAGCCCAAGCAAAACACATCTGTCCTCTCCACGGGAACCCCTCCTCCGTCCCCCACTCCCGGCCATCAGCATCTTTTCTCTTTTTTAAATATATATTTTATTGATTTCAGAGAGGAAGGGAGAGGGAGAGAGAAATAGAAACATCAATGATGAGAGAATTATTGATCGGCTGCCTCCTGCACGCCCCACACTGGGGATCGAGCCCACAATCCAGGCATGTGGCCTGACCGGGAATCGAGCCGTGACCTCCTGGTCCATGGGTCAATGCTCAACCACTGAGCCACACCAGCTGGGCTTTCAGCACCTCTTGAACGTCCTTCCAGTAACAGGAAGTCGGGGGGATCCCTGCTCCCCTAGCGTGGCTCCTACGTTAGAAAGCACTTCCTAATTCAGGCTAAAAAGAAACTCACACACAGACAAGGACCCCCTAATAACGTCCACTCCTTCCACACTCGATGCCGCCCGAGCGAGCCCACCCTCCCTGCCACAGACTCCAGTCCTCCTCCCCCCGCCCCTCCAGGTCACACGGCATAAGCAGGGAGAGCAGGTGCCCAGCTCCCGACGAGCCTTGTACAGGACAGTCTCCTGGAATCCGCTCGACAGCATTAGGATTTGGGCACTATTACTGCCCCCATCTTCTGGATGGAGAAATTGAGGCCCAAAGACGGTAACTTGCCCACAGTCACGTGGTTAGAAGAGAGCCAGGCAGACCTGGATTCAATCCCCAGGCCTCAGTTTCCCTGTCTGTGAAATGGAGACCTTTCACTGCTGTGCAGCCCTGGCCAGCTGGTGCTCAGCAAGTGGGAGCTGTCCATGCGGACGGGCAGGCACTGGCTTCCTGTGGGTGCGTTTTCCCAAGTGCAGGGACACGGGCCCCGAGGCTCGGGGGGCAGGCTGAGCTCAGGACAAGCGGGAGGAGGGAGCCGTGGGAATCTCAGCTGACACCCGGTCTCAGCGGGGCCTGGGCGTTCATCCCACAGAGGGGGAGCCGGGTGGTGGCAATGTGCTTCTTCCAGCAGAGAGAGAGGAGAATGCACGCACTGTCTGCCGGACAAACCCCAGCTCGGGGAGCACCTGCGGCCACGTGCCCTCCTCTGCCACCCGCTCTGCTGCCGTCCCCACGGGCAGTGCTACGGCCCAATTCCCTCTGGAGACCTCTCAGTGCCCCTGCCCCTGCCCCCTGCAGCCTGGCCATCTGCCTCCACTTCCTGACTCCCAATGCCAGCTCTCCAAACACACTCCCCTCCCCTTGGCCCCACCTCCCACGTCCCACAGGCCTGGGTCTGCCCGTGGGGAGGGGCCGGGCTCTCTGCTCCCTGACTCCCAAACTCCCTCCCCTGAAACTTCCACAATCGCCCCCTCGAACCCACGGCACCCTCGGACGGGCTGCCCTGGCCACGCTGGGCTGGCATCGCCCACCGACTTGTTCTGCCCAACCACCCATTCATCCCACTCGATCACTCATTCGTTCAGCACATCCTTGGCGAGCCTCTACTCTGCCGGACGCCGTTCTCGGCACTGGGGACACAAAATAGAAACCTTCCCACCTGAGCTTCCAGAACATTCTATCGTTAGGGTCAGGACAAGACTGGCTAACTCTGTGCTCCTGGACCTCCCTCCCCCCAGGTTCCTGGTGCTGAGCAGGTGCTGGGAGAAGAGCAAGTGAGGGAAGGGCACCAGGAGTGACCCCCACGGTGGGCCAGCCCCCCGGGACTGCTGCGGGCGGGGGCATGCCCAGAGCCGATGGAAAGCGGGCATATTCCACGTTGAATCCCAGCTGGAGTGCGGTGGCCTGATGGCTACAGTGCGTCCATCTCAGGCCAAGCACAGAGCGAAGGCACCTCCGGGTGAGATGCTTGGCCCAGCGATTTACTCACAGCCTGACCTGGCTCGGCCCCCAGGTCTCCCAGGGCAGGAGAGAGCTGCCACTTTGCAGATGTTTCTTCCGGAGCAAATGCGGAGCTCAGGCCTCGGTGCTGGACTCCACAAAACGCCTGCGACCACGTGAGCAGAAGGTTCTGCGAGGTCCTAGGGTCTACGCCCCCTCCTCCTGGCTTCCTGGGATGCCCCCCCCCACCCCG